GTTACATTTTCTCAAGCATTTTCTCAAGCAACTTTTTCAGGGAGGTCAATGTTTTTCAAGACGAAGACCAGGGGATCATGTTTTGAAATGATCATTATTGATGATTGATTATTGATTATTACTCTTGTCACTCTTGTCACTCATGTTACTCGTACTTACTCGTACCTACGTACGTACGTGTACATAAACGTACAGATGCTGGTTCTTATATCGCCCGCTATAATTAAATTAATTGTTGACCCGTAGTTTCATGTTTTTTTTTGCACAGCCCTCATGCTAGTTGCTACGCTACGCCATGCTTGAAAAAAAAAAGTTTAAAAAAAATATAAATAAATGCTCTCAATTTCACTGTCCCCCCTTTTCGAATCGTATGCAAACTTTTTAGCGGTTTGTAAAATTTTTTAAATTTTCAGTATAATTTTATATAGTATATAAATATTTCAGTATAAATTTCAGTATAAATTTCAGTATAAATTTCAGTATATAAATTTGATCTGCTAATAAAAATAAAATAATTTATTGTGATTTTTATCAGACCAATCAATTAATTTCGGTGTCAAACGGTTCGGCGTATAGCTTTTCTGTGTAATCGGTGTTCATCCCGCCAAAAAAATATATTGAATAAAACAAACAAGAGACAAAAAGGAGGTGTGTTCCGTTTAGTGTTTGGTTACCTCCTTTCTTTCCTCTCTTCCGGAAATTGTCGTTTTCGCTCTTTCATTATAAATATTTTTTAGTTTTTATCGATTTAGACTCGGAACTTACCTTGGTTTTTTACTTTTTTTTTTTTCTTTTTTCTCTTTTTATTATTATTATTATTATTATTTTTTTTTTTTCTTCTTTTCTTTAAAAAAAACTTATATTTTCCTTAATATTACTTCTGATTATTCCTTCTGATTATTCCTTCTGATTATTCCTTCTGATTTAAAACCTTTCAAGATTCAAGTTTTATTAAGATCTTTTTATTATTAATTTTTTTAGAAAAAAACAACAAAAAAAAAACAATATATACGTGCATTTTATAAAGACTTAATAGAAGAATAATATTTTACATTTGTCATATGAAAATTTTTTTATAAACCGTCTCATTTTCGTCCAACTTGATTCTTAATACGGAAGTTTAAGTTTAGACGGTTTGCATTTATAGTTTTCCCTTCAAACAGGTAAGGTTAACCTCCGCATTTCATATGTATTCTAAACCTTAAAAGAAGCTGTATCGACTATCATTTGGCTTTATTGCTTCTTTTTTTGGTCACCTGCGTATTCTTTTTTGTACTTTCTTTCTCGGCCGCAATTTTTCCTATTTGGCAATTTATTGTGTATATATACTGTATATGTATTTTTATCTTATCTATATATATACACGGACTTGTCTCTCGAACTTGATTTTCGAACTTGAATTCGTATTTTAAACTTGTCTTTTAAAATTTCTTTTGAATTTTTTTTTCATATTTGTTTTCATATTTGTCTTTATACTTTTCTATATTTGTCTTTATATTTGTCTTTAAAATTAATAATTTTATATTTAGAATTCGTCATTTGTACTTGTCATTACATGAATTAAATTAAATTCTCCCTGATTCCCTGATTATTTAAATCAAAAGATTTAATCCAAAAAAAAATAATAATAATAATTCAATCCAAAAAATCTAACCTAAAAAATTTTTTTACTCGGCCATGTCTGAACAGCATAACGTTCCTCTTTCACCGCATATCTCTTCTCCTCAAGAACTATCTCGGGAAGATTCATCCCCTACAATTGAACTTATCTCCACCGATATCGCGGAAACTGATCAAGTTATTATTACTGCAACCAAGGAAGTCCCTATTCTTGTCGAATCTATTACGGAAAATTTATTATTACCCCCTCTTCCTTCCAATCAACCTTCGTCCATCTCTAACAATTCTGTTTCCGTGATAAGCTATTCTGATAGCTATCCGGAAGGGACTGTTCATCATAAGAAAGGAGCTACCGAATCAATTAATCTATCGAATCAATCGTTGAAATTTAATAATTTCTATTCCTCTGCCTTATACGACTCTATCCGATTATCTAAACCAATGTCACAAATACAAAATCTTAATTTTGATGTTATACACGCTACGAGCTGTGAGGATAATTATCATCCTCGTCAACTACTACCAAGTGATAATAATAACAACAGCAATGATGTTAGTGGTATTAAACATGGAAAAGGATGGCAATCCCAAAAGTATTCTATTTTTTTTTATTAATTATTATTATTATTATTATCTTTCATTTTTATAATTAATATATATATTTTAATATTTTATTAGACGTTGTACATATCCACAAGAAATCATATTACGAGTAACTTGTGGTCCTGCCCGTGTCCGTAGGTTACAAATATTATCACATCATTATAAGATTGCTACAAGATTAGAAATATATATAGGTTCAATACAGAGAAGAAAAGAAGTAATACCAACTAATGCTAGTGGTAGTAATACTGATGAAAAAAGGACTTTTTCTTGGGAAAATTTACCAAAAATTATTGATAATGATGGAATAAGTTCTGATGATGGTGATACTGAGGATGATGATTATGTAAAAGATGATTATGATCTCATAAAAACAAATGGTGAACCTTATATACATTTCCGCCGATTAGGGTATATATATATATATATATATTAGTCAATAATTTTTTAATAATTAATAATAATGATATGATGTTAATATTAATGTTAATAATATATGACAATACCGATAATAATAATGAATATTTATTATAATAATTATAATAATATTAATAATAATTTGTTATTAATATTAACATCATTTATTAATCATTTACCGGGTAATATTTTCTAATATAAAAATTCTAATATATCCGATATTTTCTAGATATTGTGCTCTCGACAGTAATGAACGAGCTAAGTACAAAGCCCGAGAATTAAAATCGGTAAAGCTTGACGCCGAAGGTGAATATATCAGATTGGTCGCTCGAAGTTGTCATGATAATCAATTAAATCAATATAATCAAGTAAATTTCCTTTAATTCATTAAATTTATTATCAATTTGTATTATTTCATTTTGAATTATTTCATTTATTTATTAAATTTTTTTAAAAAAATTTTTTTTTCTAGGTCGGTATTGTAGCTATAACCGTTATGGGTGCACCGGTCGATTATTTACTCGCTGGCGAAAGTCAAAAGATTCCAATAGAAGTATGTATTTCATGATCTTTTAAAAATTATCTGATTTTTTTTATCATTATAATTATTATACGATTTATATTAATCTTTTTCGTCAATTTTTATAAAACTTTTAGCATGTTGACGAAGGTCTGTCACGTGTAGCTTCGCCCGATATTTGTATCCTCCCTGTCGTTCAAGATGACTCATTGATCGGCAGTAATCCAAACGATCATCAAAATGATCATCAAAATTTCACCTCTTTATATTCCATTCTCCCCAATTCTTCATCAGTAAACATCAGTTCTACCTCACTGCCCGAGCAAGATCAAGATCAATATCAAGATCAAGAACAAGAGCAAGAAGAAGAGGATATGCCGCCTGTAAGTCCGACCTCTTCAAACAATTTCTTGTTGAACGCTAAAGCAACTGCGGGTTTGCTTTCTGCTTTTGAAAGGGCGAAGCAAAACGCTGTCAAAGGTATTTTTTTAGTTTTATGTTATTTTATATATTTACGTTATTTTATAGCTTTAATTTTAATATCTATTATTGTATCTTCATCATCATACCAACTTACATAGTGGAAGATTTCCGTTTGGCCAAAGTGTTAAAATATGCAATTGAACTAATAAAAAAGGTATACTTCCAACTTTACTTTTTTATTCAAATCCTTAATTTTTTTTTTAGTTCTAAAAAGTTTTTTCTTATTTGATACAAAAGTCAGCAGATGATGTTATTAGACTTGACTTACTAAAAAAGCGCGCTATTGGCGAAGAAGATTTTGATAATGCTGATAAGTACAAGGTAATTATCATTTTATAATGTAAAAAATTTTATAAATATCAAAGATTATTTTTTATTTATTTATTTATTTTTTTCTTAGCGTGAAATCGAAGCTATTAAAACGTACATATGTAACTATTTAGAAGAAGAAGGTCTAGATCTTGATGATTCAGGCGAAGTAATTGTACTAGATGCAAATCCTGAATTGGCAGACATAATCGGATTAGCTGATGATGTTTCTGAGGTTAGTAACAACATTTAAAAAAAAAAGAATTTCATTTAAAAAAAACGAAATCCGATACTTCTTGTCCCTACTAGTAATATAAAAATATTATCCAATGGTGGTAATAATAATTACTATTACTGTTATTATTATACATTGATAAAGGAAAATTAGGTCAAGTTTATAGTATAATATCTTATATCTTATAAATTAAAGGGTCGAATATATTTTATAGTATCAACTTCGTTTTATATATTTATATGCATTTAAATTTTATATTATATCTTTTACTTTTTAGTTATTTATCATGTTATTGTTATTCATTTTGTTCGTTTAAAATAGAATGGTCGTAAACCTTACAATGAATATGTTCCTTATATACCTGGTGTACCTGGTGTACCCGGTGTACCTTCCGGAGGTGTTTATCAAGAAAAACATCATGTCCCTGTCGGTTATATAGATGTTCCACGTCAAAAAAGTCGTTCAAGCAGTAATTCTTCAATAACTAGAATGTCTAATTCTAGTGTTGTTCATCCTCCACCAACTTTACATATTCCGATAAATCAAATAGATAGTAGTAGTTCTTTTTCAATTGATAGGCCTCATCATCCTGAACCTGTAACCCCTACTACACCAACGATTGATCAAGTTCAATGGGAACCTTCTTCTGTTGATGATCGTCCTTTACCTGCTTTATCTAAGGATAATCATGATCCAATACCTACATCACCTTTAAATGACCCTAATGAAAATCAACCTGAAGAACTTTCTGATTTAGCACGTTCTGCATTTGATTATTCAATACAAAACTTTGGAGAATTTGATGTTGCATGTCTTTTATCAAAAAAGTTTCCTTTACGTGAATCTGCTTTAGCTAATATTACAAAAAGAATCGATATAGATCTTGATGGTAAAGAAGTCGAAGGAATTGATAAAGTAAGTCCTTTTTTTTATTATATTTTTTTTAAATTATTTAATTATATATATATATATATATATTTAATTAATTATGCTAATTTTTAATTATATTAGGTCGGACTAACAAAAGCTACATTCCAAATTATTCAAGAAGCTTTAGATGATAATCCTGAGAAACTTACTTTACAAGCATTAAATCTTTGGGAAGTACTTACAAAGTTTTGTGTTCATCATCAAGTACCAACATCATCTACATGGAAATCTGTTGAAAAAAGATTTTCACAATTATTTGGAAAGATATCAGATTCAAATTCACGTATAAAACAAAGTGCAATAAATTTATTTATCTTACTTGCAAAAACATATAATGGTCCTATCCATTCAATGACATCTTTGGTTCTTAAACCTGCTAAATTTAATAATCAACCGGCAAAACATTCAAAAGCTAAAGTAGAACTTGTAACGCGATTAGTAGAAGAATTTGGTATTGCGTTAGACCCTCCAAAAGGAAAATCTGATAAAGATCTTGGATTGAATCTTGAGGTATATCATTTTTTAAATTGCTAAATTGTTGATAAATTGTTGATATAATTAATCTAATTAATCTAATTATAATTAATCTAATTAATCTAATTATAATTAATCTAATTAATCTAATTAATCTAATTATTAAATCATTTTTTCATCATTTTCGTCATCTTAAATAGTCTGTCATGCAAGTCTCTAAATCTTATTTGAATAATAATAATGGCGAAGTTCGTGATTCCGCCGTAAAATTAGTAGTTGAAGTTGTTAAACGTGTTGGTCGAGAAAAAGTTGAACCTTTCATTAGTGATATAAAACCAATACTTTTAGAAAATATTTGGAGTTTGGTTACTGAATATGAAGAAACTACTGGAAGAACAGCAGGTCAAGTTCCTTCTCCTCCTCCATCTCCTAAGGTCGTTGCAGAAAAAGAAAAGCAAGAAATTAAAGACCTTGAAGTGAATGAAGAATTGTTAAAGATTCCACTAGCTAAACGTGGAACCGTCACACGACTTGAACAAGAATTAATGGAATTAAAATCAAGATTTAACAACACGAATAATTTTATCAAAGATGATTATAATAAATACATTGCAAATTCGTCCAAAAAACTTCAGGAACCTGAAGAAGAAGCTCTAGAGTTAACTGAACAAGAGTTAAGAGAATTAGAAGAATTAGAAGCAGAGGAAGAGTTATTACGGAAAAAAGCTGAAAATGTCCCTGATAATTCCGAAGTTCCTCCAAAAGATAAACCATCCACAAAAAGCCCTGCAAAAACTGGAAACAAAACTGCACCTGTTCCTGGAAAACTAAGTGCAAAAAGATCAAAAAATGATACTGTACCACCAAAAAAGAATATAAAAATTGTACCTAAACCTGGTTCATCTCGACGCGAATCAACAACTGAAGAAAAAAAGCCCCCAAGAAAAAATTCTTCTAAATCCAGTGATGCTACTTTATGTGAAGAACCTGAAGAAATGGTCCCTGCCGCCCCTGCCGAAGGATCAAAAGGTGAAAGGTAAAATTTTATTTCCAAACTAAGCAAATAAATTTTATTATTTTATTATATTGTTTATTTATTTCCTTATTATTTTCTTATATATGATTGCTTTAATTAATAGAAATTGCATCTTTTGTGATGAGTACAACGAAAATTTCACAGAAGAAAATTTAGTGAATCATTATTGGACTGAATGTCCGGTATTGACCAAATGCCGTTTATGTAATATAGTAAGTAAATGAATTCTGTTTCAATGAATCAAATACATAATACTTTTATATCTAAAATAAATAAATATATCTTTGTAGATTCTTGAAATTTCTACTCTCGATGATCATATGCTAAACGATTGTGATAAAAACAAATTTGTTAAACAATGTCCTACCTGTCGTGAAGTCATTAATGCTGAAGATTATCTAGCACATATCAACAAAAAAACTTGCTTGCCTGTCAGAGATGATATTGTTCGTTGTCCACTTTGTAAAACAGTAATTAAACCAGCGACCGAAGAAGGTTGGAAATCACATTTATTAAATTCTAATGGATGTCCAAAGAATCGTAGAAAGCCAAACAATAAGCCTGAAGTTCCTTCAACGGAAAATGCAGCTCCTAGTGGTAAAAAACAAACAGTGAAAAAATCTACTGAAGTTGGTTCCAAATCATCTGTAGCTTCTAAAGCTCCTAGTAAAAGTAAAGTTACAACGTCTAGTGGTAGTAGTAAAGACAAATTAAAGAAATCCGCAACAAAATCCTCAAAGATCAGAAAGTAATATTAAGGAAAAAAAAAATCCAAAAAAAAAAAACAATTGTTTACGAATTTTATTTTTTTATGAACGTTAAGTTGGACAAAAGAGGTAATTAGATTCTAAGAATATATTTAGCAATTAGGATGAGGATTAGTTCCTCACAACAGACATTTTTTCCGGGGAATCATGCTATATTTATTTTACTTTTTGACATTATTTATATAGTTTTAATCAATCATTATCTCTTTCGTTCAAATTTCTTTTTATCTATTTTTTTTTTGCTTTATAATTTAGAACATTTTGTTCGAATTAAAATCTTTAAAAAAAAAAAAAAAAAAATTTTTTTTTTCTAAAACAAAAGTACGCATCAAATCTCGGTAGCATTTTTTTTTTTTTTTTTTTTTTTTTTTTTTTTGCAGAGTACATATGTCTATTATACAAATTCATTCAGTCCTCTTTTGATTCTGCATTTTGCAACTCGCATTTTTTTTTTTTTGTATCATTATTGCAAATTTTTAGCTTGAGTTCTCTGCCTTTTTTTTTTTTCATTTTCGTCTAGTCCATGTTACAAAGTTGCATTGGCTCATGTTAAATTAGGTCCTTTGTATTAAAAAAAAAAAAAAGAAAGGTATTTGAATGAAAAAAAAATTTGACATTTTTTATTATAATTCTTATTAACAGTTTTTAAAAAAAAAAAAAAAAAAAGTTCTTGGGGTTTTTTTTTTTTGTAAATTTAGTTTTTGTTGGAAAATGCGTGTTTGTATTTTTTTTTATTGGGCAAATTAACAAATTGATTTTTTGATGCCATTAAAATATATATTGAATTTGTATAGTTATGTTTATAAAAAATTTAAAAAAATTTGAGAATATCGATATTAATTGATGTATAGTTGATAGTACATATTTAATTAATTTTAATAAAGCAAATAGTAAAATTCTCGGAAAATAAAACACTAATATTCAACTTAATTAGTGTTGGATTGGATATTAAACATGTTTAATGTCTAGTTCATGTTTAGTCAAGCCCAATCTATTGAACAAAAAAGTATTGGATATTGGATATTGTGTAATATATAAATCATGTGACATATAGCCAATCAAAAATCTTTACAGTATCATACTGAGGCAAAACTTACGTTTTTGATACTCCTGCACTTACCGGTACTTTTTTGATACTGATCGACATGCAGATCCCAGTGAAAATAAAAAATTTAGGAACTTTGAGCGAAGATATCTTGACACCTACTGCTTGAATCTGATAAAACCTTTTCGATTTGAATTCTATGGATTCATAGAATTCAAATAAAAAAAAATTATCGAATTTAGCCATGTGGCTGTTGAGATAACTTTGCTCAAAATTAAAGAAAAATCAAAACGCCTTTAAAATAGAAGCTACACCAAATTTCTCTCTAACCTCGAGCGAAGATATCTCGATAACAATCTGACCAAATTCGATAAAACTTTTTTTATTTTAATCCTATGGATTCATAGAATTCAAATAAAAAAATTTTCATCGAATTTAGTCAAGTGGCTATCAAGGTATCTTCATTCAAAATTAGAGAAAAATAAAACACCTATCAAATAGAAATTTTCTCTAACTTTGAGCGAAGATATCTCAATAGCAGTCTGTCCAAATTTGATAAAACTTTTTTTATTTCAATTCTATATATTCATAAAATTTAAATAAAAAAAATTCATTGCATTTAGCCAAGTGGGTGCTGCTCAAAATTAGAAAAAAATTTAACGTAGATACACATCTTGAGATTTTATTTGAGCGAAAATATCTTGACAACTACTTGATTAAATGCAATGAAAATTTTTTTATTTGAATTCTATGAATCAATAGAATTCAAATAAAAAAAGATTTATCGAATTTTGTTAGATAGTTATCGAGATATCTTCACTCGAAGTTAGAAAGAAAATTTAGCATAGCTTCTATTTTGATAGACGTTTTGATTTTCTCTAAGATATCTTGATAACCACTTGACCAAATTCGATAAAAATTTTTTATTTGAATTCTATGAATCCATAAAATTCAAATAAAAAAAGTTTTATTGAATTTGGTAGTGGTTATTGAGATATCTTCGCTCAAAGTTAGAAAGAAATTTGGCGCAGCTTCTATTTTAAAGGTGTTTTGATTTTTCTCTAATTTTAAGCAAAGCTATCTTGAAAACCACATGGTTAAATTCAATAAATTTTTTTATTTGAATTCTATAAATCTATAGAATTCAAATTGAAAAGGATTTATTATCCCTTAAACCGTCAGGTTTAGCGTTCAAATTTGGACGCTAAAATTAAAATCAATTATATCTAATCTAATTTTTTAAATATTAAAATATTTTAAAAAAAATTTTATATTATAATATTTGAAAATAAGGATTATCAAATAGTAGTATTTATTTTAATATTATAAGAAAAAAATATATAG